GAGAAGGGAAATACTATGAGAATGAGGGACTAATAAAAAGGTTCAAAGTTGCTTTTATAGTAGTTGACTAGTCTGAGAATAATACCAACTTTCTAGGTAATCACGCCAAATTATCTGTCAACTTCAAAAAAGTAAACTTGAAACTACCTACATTCTCAAAAACACAAATATTTTTCGTTTTCGTTAATTTTTCATAATGAAATTATTCCATCATCCAAATGATTCATGAGATTATCACCCACACGTGATAAACATTTTTTTATTATTGTAGGAAGTTTTTATGTTGCTACAATATGCAAGTAAACATTGGGCGGATGCTGTAGACTTCCATTCATCGATTCGAAGGTTATCAATAGATTCGCTATAAATTATGATCTACATAAAATATATGCATTGATGACAATAAAGTCCGAAACTGCACTAACAGCACGATATTCAGAAACTAACGGGAAATTTCAAATAAATTTCACGGTTTTCGAACGTCCAATAATCATTTTTTCATTATTATGGTGGTATACATGCCCCTGAACCAATGATAACGTGGAAAAAGTGAAAGAAATGCTTATAAACGATTGTCGAATCACAATCAGAGAAATCGTTAATGATTTACATGAAGCAAACCATCAATCACGAAATTGACTGTAGCTAGACTTTGATGACCAAACAAGACTAGCTTCTTTTCTTCGTGAATGCCGACTTGAGTCGAATGTTCATATTATTGGTATTTCCCTCGTTTCGGTTTGGAAAGAAACATAATTTTTTTAATTAGGTTTGTTATATTGATGCTAATAATTGTCTAATATTTACTAAGATTTTCATTTGTTACGACCGGTTTGGGTTTATTGAACCATTCTCAAGTGAACTTGACAAAAAATCCCTTAATATACTATAATAAAATTGTCAATGTCATTTAGGTAGGTTAATTAAACCTGTACCTGAAATAACAAAAATGTTACCTGAATCATCAACACCCCTTCTGAGATACCTACCAAAACAATATTCGTAATTGTTCAACTTCCATGACATATTAAAATTACTGAGTATTGACCCAAAAACATTACTTGTGAATTGCTCCAAAAACCACTGATATGTTATAGCAGTTGAATAATTATTGTTTTGGTATTTCAGATAAGGTATTAATGATTCAGGTAAAAATATTTTCATTTCATGTACAGATTTAATTAACCCAAATGACGTTGACACTGTTATTGCATATTTGAGGATTTGTTCGTCAAACTGCATCAGTATGCTTAAGAATGATTTAATAAATCGTANGCATAATATCCAATGTCTAGACGACCTACAGATTTTTTCCAAACTAAATTTCCCGTCATTTTCTGAACATACCTCATAGAAGCGGTGTAGTTTTGTACGAAAATTACATGTATGGTGTCACTGGCATTAAAACTTTCTGTGGCGAAATGATTCAAAGCTGATCCGAAAACTTTCATGTATAACTCAAACCCCATATATCTAACGATATTATCTAAAAATTCCAACTTGTACATGAAAGAGTTCTTATACCATATGATGAACACGAAAAACATGTTTCATTCTATTCGAATATTTTATGGATACTTTGCGAATAATACTCATAACGTTAGAAATAAACCACATTTCTAATTTTTATTGTTTTCGTTATTCTTCATGATATCGTCACCCGATTTCCATTAACATCCATGAATATGAAGTGCACCAAGTGACATACCTGATCTAAAGTTGAAATTGTTCAGACTTGAATCCATTCCAGATTCAGTCACTTGCTTATCCTAGTATAGCCATGATCACTGAAAACCAGTCGCAGTCATGGTAACGAATATTGTTTCTGGAATTTCTCAATTGAATGCTTAGATTTGGAGCAAAAGAAATTGGAAGTTATGATTGTTGCAAGTTTGAGTAAGCAAAAATGGTTAATACATCTAAAAATGCTCTCAAACCTACCACAACATCCCACAACTAGAAAATTTGCTCTATTTGGTGAAGACATATGGATAGAAGAGTTATAAAATAGGGCATTATTAAGATCACGATATATTTCACTGTTTTTGAACTATCATTACAATGTTCGAATACTGAAATGATAGTTTCGTGGTATAATAAATTCTATATCTGTACACTAGTACACAACTAGAAAATTTGCTCTACTTGGTGAAGGCATATGGATAGAAGAATTATAAAATGGGGCATTATTTAGATCACGATATATTTTACTGTTTTTGAGAGAACTATCATTTCAATGTTCGAATACTGAAATGATAATTTCGTGGTATACTAAATTCTATATCTGTACACTAGTATATATTCGAGTCAAAAGTCGATTTTTCAAAGGTATTCAGGGAATAGTTTCACATCGTAGTCAGTCTTATACAGGTAATAAAACAGTGAAATCGTTTATATGAAATGTTATAGTATTTCCAATACCAATTGGAACAGCACAGAGAAGGAATTCCCACCTCGACATAGGCGTCGGCATATTATTTTTCAGTGGTAGTTTTTCAGTTACTTATT